TTTCCAGCTCAACATATCCAATACATAAAAATACATTCATGCATTTAACTTACAGTAAGCATCATACACAAATATCTTCATTACTTACAATATTATATCATGTCTTAATTACAAATCTCATATACATGCCAAAGGACTTAGCTACAAAATGAACATGATCAAAGCAAGTAACCATGTATCAGATACCCATTACTACTACAATGATCATGCACTAAGTCCTCCAAAATACATCATGTGGCATCAAAATATACATATAGCAATGCTAAATGGCATGCAACTCAACATGTCCAGCTATCAGGTACAGTCTACTCACGCTTCTTGCCTCGATCAACCTCACCTCTATCAGTACCTGAAATGATGCCCCACAACACGGGGTGAGATATACGAATATATCACAGTAAACCAGAGGTCCTTGGAGATCACTCCACCCTAAGGTTCACTTTGATGTACACATAATCATAATAGCTTAACACATTCTTATCCACAAGCATCACATGGACTTCCAAGAGAGATCCACTATGGGCTGTTTCTCTTAGGCTCTTACCACATGGAGATCCACATAGGGCTGTTTCCAAGGGAAATCCTTTCCTCAATCTATTCCAAGAGAGATCCTCAAAGGGCTGTTTCTCTTAGGCTCTTACCACATGGAGATCCACCTAGGGCTGTTTCCAAGGGAAGTCCTTTCCTCAATCTAGGAACCTCCAAGAGGGATCCACATAGGGTTGTTCTTCTTAGGCTCTAACCACATGGAGATCCACATAGGGCTGTTTCCAAGGGAAGTTCCTACCAATCATCCTCATCATAATACTATCACTCATAACCTCAATCACAATCCTCAACCATTACCTCATTCATTATTGCTACTTCTATAATCATTCCTCAATTACTCTTAAACAATCAAACATCAACCAATAATCATCAATCAATCATAACATGTATCAATGCATGAATCAATGCATGAGCATACAATTACAATCATAATTACATATCACATCTCATAAACCATTTCTCCTCAACGGAGTATGGTGGAACACTCAATGGGATCAACCACAAGGTCCAAAGGTTTACCTTGCTCTTGAGCTTTCCTCAATTGCACACAACCCCAAGGGTTGGTCACTCCACTTGGTCCTCTTGCCTCAATCCTATCAACACAAGGAATACAATCAAACAATGCTAACAATGCAAGAAAATCCATAGTTCCAAGCCTAGATTTCTCAAAACATCAAAGCATACTAAAATAACACTATAAACTCATTTCTACCGATTAAATGTCATTCCTAGCATTTTTCACAACATATTCTAAGCCTCATTCTTCCTTGAACATAGCCAATCTACTCAACATTTCATAAAAACCCTAAAACACTATTCATTAAACCCTAACCATGAAATTTTCCAAGAAAACAAGGTTCAAGGGTTAGAATCTTACCACCAATGGTCACACAACCAAGGATTGATGGCACCTCAAGCTTCAATGAAGGTTGAAGCTCTCAAACACCTCAATTTCTCCAAAGGGCCGAATTTTTGAGGGGCAATATCTCACCACACAAAGCTCCCCACTAAGAACTAAGCTAGGATTAATGATGAGGGCGAGATTCTAAGTGATTTAGGCTTTTGAATCGCTCCAATCGGTTGAGAATAGCTCTCTCTCTTCCTCCCTTCCTTCTCCCTCCTTTCTCCTTCTTCTCCTTTCCCTTTCTTTTCTTTCTGTCGACGGTTTCTTGGGGGGGAGGGGGGTTTGGGTTTCTTTCTTGTTTTATCACTTAACATAAGTTAAGTGGTAACATGTGGGTATTAGTTCATCTATCTATTCAACTCCATTAATTACCAAACTTTACCCAAAAGTCTGGAATATTATTCTAGGAATATTTATATTTTTATTTTTATATTTTGGGCATTTTCGCCAGTACCCATTTATACCCCTTAATTTCCACTGAGTACACTTTTTAACTCCAAAGTGACTCAAATTCATTTAATTAAGCCCTATACTTAATTTTACTCACTAAAACATGCTTGATTATTTAATTAAAATTAATCAATTAAATGCTTAAGTTTGGGGTATTATATAGGTCTCCCGCATTTGAAGACATGATAGCTTCCAGTACGTATAGAATATTTTCCATGCTCACTTGAGTAATCTTTCTTGACTCCCATTATACAGGTTGATATTATGAAGTGAAAAAAAAAAAATCATATATTTTAAACACATAAAATATTGCTCTCTTCTACCCTTCCTTCCCAAGCTTTTTATACGAACAAACTGTCCTAAAATATTAGTAGTTGTATATGGGCATTCATTTCATATGTATTCAAACATAATTGGTTTTATTCTTTACCTTTTTGCAGCTTTTAACTACTTCATTTCCTAATGGATGTTTTTGTCTTCCATTTGAACCTTTGTTGCAACTTCTGCATCTGCTACTGCTGTACCATATCTAGACAAGGCTGATTTTCTAAGGCTTCAAAATCGCAGGTCAGAACCACTTGACTATTAGCAGGCTAATAAGTTTACATTGCTAACTATTCTAATCTTTCAGTGGCATATTTTTTTTTCTTGTTTATTTTCTGCTTTTCTTTATCTTGTTTTACCGTGATTGACAATCTTCATCTTAATAGAAATTTGCTCGTGCCTTGTGGTTTTCTATAACTGATTTTGCTGGTGTGTCTCTGTTATATATGTAGAGAAAGACTGAGTGAAAAAGGAAACATATATTCTCCATAAAAGTTCTCGTTGGTAAAAAGTGAAAATAAGCTGGATATGGCATAAAGTAGAAAGCTTTGTGCTTCTTGCCTTCCTAATACATTTTTAATCACTGTACCCAATCTATGTGGTGCATGATGAATTGATATGGTATTAAGTTATTACTATGCTAGTGTGTATTTTTCTATGTGTCTATTTCACTACAAATTTGCCACATATCCTCTGTATACTTTTGCAAATGACAATATCTATGGATGAACTCAGCAAGTTTTTATGGCAGAAAACTCTTTTTAAGGGTATTAGAACAATGAATAATTTCATGTAAAATCTTTATTGTATTCTTCTAATAAGGAAACACAACTTCCTTGCAGATTGGAGCAGAACCAGATATAGTGCTTTTCATTGATTACCCTGAAGAAGAGATGGTGAAACGGGTTTTGAGCCGTAATCAGGTTCTCATCAAATTCTTGGAGATTTAATTTCAGCATCTGATTAGAAAGTTCTATCTGATATATTCTAGTCATTTTATTGCAGGGTCGAATTGATGACAACATAGACACAATCAAGAAACGCTTTAAAGTATTTGAGGCATTAAATCTTCCTATGATTGATTATTATGGAAAGAAAGGGAAACTTCACAGGGTAATTTCAAATCTTGATTAATTTTCTCCATGTGGGAAATTTCACAAGCTAGTCTTTTGGAGAGAAATGGACTTGGACTCAGCTATATGTTTGTTGTACTTTACATACAATTTTTATATATATGCAATCGACTTGGGATTGCTATTATGTATCATTTATGTACCTAAAAAAAATAGAATTTGTATAGTGGCATATTATAAAAGAAATAAAAATGTATTATTTTTTTTTTATTCTCTCCCTACAAATTAGCCACATTTTTAACGTGGCTAATGTCAAAAAATATCGTGGCCAAAATAATGCTACCACACTCATGACAGCAGTAGCAAAGTGAGAAGGAAAATGTGGCTAAATAAATGCCACGCCAGGATTAGCCACGTTTGGAAAAAATGTGGTAGTTTGGTTTATCCACGTTTTTTTTTTTACATATTGCCACGTTTTTGAACGTGGTAAAACGACGTTTATTTTGTAGTGAATAAGTTATTCTGCCTACTCTTATTTTGTCTACTTTTCCCTATCCCTTTCAACATCGTTAGATTGTAATTTCATCAAACGGTAGAGATTTACGGGATAAAATAAATTATTTTACCTCTTTCTCTTTCCAACTTCCTCCCATCCTTTCTGTTTCCTCCCTTTTCTCTTTATCGCATCATTCCTTCAAAATTCCATGGAGAAAAGGGTAAAAAAGAGAGAAGGAATTAAAAGAAAAAAGAATTAACCCACAAAGCAAAAACGCACTACAAAACAAAAATATATGATTGTTGATTGCCCAAACAAAAATAATAAAATAAAAGCAATCTAACTAAATAGCAATTTTTTCTTTTTTCTTTTTTTTTTGGTAGATTGTTGATTGCCAAAAAAAACCTGCGATTGTTGATTACCAAAAAAAAAGGGTAATCTAACCTGTGATTGTTGATTACCAAAAATCAAATCAGACCACAAAAGCTCCTTGATTGCAAAAAATAAAAAAAAAAATCATGTGGTTGTTGATTACAAAAAAAAATAACGGTAATCTAACTATTGGCTTGCAGGGTGATTTTTTTTTAGTAGATTGTTGATTGCATTTGGATGGAGTGTTAACTAGACAGTCATGCAATTGATAGACTGTGATTTGTTTCAAGCTCTGTTCAAACTTGATTTAGAATCTTAAAGGGGCAAAAATCATGGGATCTTGTGATAGAAAAATTCATTTGGAAGGTGAAAAGTCTCAGAGTTAAAATCGTACCAGTGGGCCCATTAGGGTTTTAGGCGGTCGTTAATATTTAGAGCCCGTTTGGATGGATTTTTTTCTCTCCAAAAGTTACTTTTTTTTTAGAAAAAAAGCACTTCTCAGTTTTAGTTTATTTGGATACCTGCTTTAAAAAAAAACAGAAGTCACAAAAAAAGTTAAAAACCTACTTTTTCCAGAAGCGAAAAATTTTAACTTCTAAAAAAAGCAAAAGTCAGAAGCCAAATATTTTTTTCAAAAATTAAATATTTTTATAAAAATATAAATAAATTTAACTTTTGTAAAAATGACTTCTAAAATAAGGAAGAGATAAAAGTTATTTTTTTTAAAAGGGAAAACAAACGGGCTCTTAAACCTGTCATTATATGAAAGCCATCTGAATTACAGTTTTATTAAGCCAAATACCGTAGAACATAACTCTAATTCTCCTTTGCCATGGATATGTTTAATCAGAGGAAGAAAAGCACAGGCCGCAAGAAGATTGAGATCAAGAAGATTGAGAAGGATAGCAACAAGAATGTCACATTCTCGAAACGACGAGGAGGTTTGTTCAAAAAAGCTAGCGAACTCTGTATTTTATGCAATATTCATGCGGCCATAATTGTGTTTTCTCCTGCTAACAAATGCTACTGCTTTGGCCAACCCAACGCGGAGACCATCCTCACCAGTTATCTCAAAGGAACCAAAGATTTTAACCCTACAGAGCCAATAGACAAATCAGTGTCCTACAACGATGTCCTTGATAGAGAATATGAGGAGGCCATAAAGAGGTTGGAATTGGAAAACAAGAAACTTGCAGACACTGAGACTATAGCAAAGTTTTGGAAAAAAGAGGATTGGTGGAACGAGTCGATTGATGATATGAATAACGATCAGCTAGAGGAATTTATGATGTCCATGTCTGAGTTAAGGTGGAACCTAGCTGAAAGGGCAGGTGCACGGGTGATGATGCATCCAATGCAATAGAATTTTAGGATTTTGATTAAAAGATTTATTATTTTTTTCAAATGTTTCATTTACCGGTTTTGTTGGTGTTCTTTCTGTTTGAATTTCTATACTGCATTAGACACAATTTTTTTTTCTTTATAAATTTTTAAAGATGTTCTTGGATCTGCTTACGCTGAATATTCATGTGAATCTTATTATGTTAATAATACGATTTATTTATGTTTTCTTTCAATTTTTCTTTAATTTTTTATTTAGTTTATCGACCCATCCAAATCATCTAGGAATAAAAGTCATGTTAATATTGATATTATTCTTGTAATCTTTTCCTAGAAAATCATTATCAAGTATCGAGGACGCTAATATTAAGAATTATGGTAACTCTCATTGGCACATAAATATGTAGTATAAGCAAGTATACACAGAAATTAAGGAAAAATAAAGAGCACGAATAGGCGGTAGTGTATTTTCAAAGCAACGCCAGCAGTTTTACAAAACTCTTGTCCCGAGATAGCTTTTTGCTCCACATTTTGATGCTCTCATTAGTTAGTTTTGACGAGCCGACCCAAATATGATAAGATCATAAGCTAAAATATTGACTATACATCCAGTTTTTAAACAATCATCATACTTTGTATAAAAGCAAGCTATTGGTAGTCTTTTCTATGTTTTCCTCACAGTTTCTCTACTATATTTGTTGAATTATGATGCTTGAGATAAAGGACATTTGGAGCTTATGTACAAATGAAATAAATGGTTATATAGCAATAAGAGCACATTCCAGTGAGGTTCAAGTGCAACCTAAGCAAGATACATTTTCCTAGCTCAGCATTATAACCTACCATTAAATGATGAAATTTCTTAGACACTAGGAAGCCTGCCTGTATCCTATATATACGAGCTCAATAAGCAAGCAACGGTATGTCAGTAGGTGGTGAGTTTGTTTACCTCGCTTAAAGACTCAGGAAAAACTTACCACACTTCAGCTCACAAGATGACACTTCATTCTCCTCAACAGGTTAGAAACACTTTGAAAAGTTTAGAGCAGTTGAAATTTTTGAAATTCTAAGCTCGATAATATATTGAAAACGAGTAATGATATTTACGCATCTTCGTAAAACTTTTTAGTCATTGTTTTGGTAAAAAATAAGAGTTTTATGTTTATCATTTAACATGATATTTACACATTAAAGAGGTGGGGTCCATATATTTTTCTTTCTCTTTCATCATTCCACTTTCTCTCTCCATTTTTGTGTGTGTGTGTTGTAAACAACACTTAAATCATGTAACATAACACTAATAAAACCCAAAAAATAAAAGGAAAAGCAAATGTTATGTTACATGAAAATTTTGTTTCCTCCTACTCTCACGTTTTCTGTGCAAGCTTTTTTCTTTATTTTTTTCTAATATTTGGTGGGTTCTACAAAAACTTGTCTTTGTGACATGATGTATCAATTTTCATGTTACATGACATTAACAAAACCCATAAATAAAACATGTAAAGTCTTCCTTATTTTATTATATAAAAAAGGGTAAATTACATAAAATTGGATATCAAGTTCTGAATCTGTCAACTAGCATCGCTTATCATTGAATTATGATTGTAGCATAATTTCTTCACAATATAAAAGCTAAAACAGTACCTTCATTTTGTCGTTAATGTTGTATATATTTTCATTACACAATTTATATTTTGATCTAAATCATACAGTTGGATATATTGGGCTAACTATTGGACTCTCACAATTTTGGTTAATCGCTGCACAATCTAAATTCTCGTGTATCAGTTCATCCATATCAATATTTGTGACGAAAATTTTTGTCATAAATTTTGTCACAAATGATAATTTTTTACACAAATAATCAAATTTCGTCACAAACAAACTTGCGACGCAGGAATTTGTGACGAAATTTTATGAAATTTCGTCACTAATAAGATTTTTTCTTGTAGTACACTTAGCAATATTGTAAAATTGATTTGAGATAAAATACAAATCTTGTTCAAAAATTTTCTGTATTATTGACTGTTGCTTAACTATATATTCTGGTTCTAATTTGTAGTTATTGTGTTGCATCTAACATAAATCATGTATTAACTTGATCCAGTTTTAAATCTACTAATTGAAGTTGCTGCGCCCAATCTTTTTCTCTCTGCCTTGCTGATTTAAATTCACTGTTTTGGATATATTGATATTGCAATAATGGTGTGAGTATGATTACATTTGCATACTTGAAATTCCTCTTATCTGTCACCGGTATTATTGCAATCCTGTGAATATATAACACTTGCATATTAGTAGGTGATTTGAGATTATTAGGTGGCGGAAACACGAACGAAACCAACATAACACCAAAAGGGGTGGAGGTCTGCAATAGCAATGGTGGATGATGAAATAAGAATAAGGGTATTTGTATCCTAAAACTAATAAATATGCTTAAATGTGACCCTTTGGAAGTATATGTTGGTAGATTAATAATATAATCCAATAGTATGTTCACATATAAGCCCAATAGGTGAAAAGCGTGGTTATTTGGGTCCATATGGGCTGGAGCCCAATAGCTTGCATTATATCTAGAGTTTCCTAAGCTGAAGGTAACACTGTTGAGCATTCCAAACTTTGATGTCTCTTGGTGTAATACTTCAAGCACCTCTAAACTCTTCTATCTCAAACTCATAACCTCCAACAATCTTGAAGTATTAGTTTCGTGTGTCATATTTGAGTGATTAAGGTGTCTATTCAAAGATTTCAACGAGAGGAACTCATATTTTAAATCACTTTCGCGATTCGACGGAAGGATTTTCCAGGATCTGAGTTTTAAGATACTGCAGCCGCAACCTTTCGGTCCAGATCCCAAAAATTTTGACCATTTTTAGAAAGTGAAACCTAATGGACTTTGTTCTACTCGACGAGACGATCGTTTTGAGTGGTCACTCGCCTTAAACGGAGATCAGACGAAGGAGATATGGTCATTTGTAGTTTTAGGTACACTTTTATACTAAAAGGAATATTCCTGCGAAAAGGAATATTCCGAGGGAATATTCTGTTAGTTGGAGAATATTCTGTAGGGGACATTTTAAAAATCAGAAAATGTTCTGGTGAATTTCTGGCAACAGGGATAGTCCATCTTAAGATTTTTGGGCCCTCCAAATCTGTTTTTGGGGTCTGTTTTGGCAAATTCCAAGTCTACAGAGCAATTTGATGAAAGTTAGAGCATTTGCTTTAATTTGCGAAGTCTGAGAGAACTACAAGGTGCACTCTTTCTAACTCTTAGCTCTGATTAAAATGCCTAAATATAGTTCCTATGATATTATGAAATGAAATCATTCGATGTTATTGAATTTTATGGTTGAAAATTACATGTTCAATTTGGCATGGAAGAACATGAAATATTCCATAATGTATTAAATGATTTTGCATTTATCATTGAAAATTGTGGATTAATATCAATGGAACAAAGATGAATATTTTTGTAAGGATTACTTGTTAAATTCTCTAAATATTCATCTAGCTATGACTTGTAGTGAATATAAGACGATGAAAAAGATATGAAATCACTTGAATGCTTAGTTCCAAAACAAGAGGGGCTCTCCAAAACTCTTATAGCAGAGAAGTTCTTTGAATTCAAATTTAATACGAAATCAGTTAATTAAACTTGAGAACACAAGGAACAAGCTAAAATATGATAAATTTGATATGTCTGATAATATTTTTGTCCATCTTGCATTGAGTAAGCTACCTGCTGAATGGAGTTCTTTCAAGACTGAAAGAACAAAGAGAACTGGATAAATTAAAGAGGTTTATTTATATTTAGGATCAAAACTATTCTAGGAAGAGTTTGGAACAAATAGAACAATAAAAGTTAATTGCCTACTTAGTTTCACGTTCCAATAAATCTCATAAAAAGTCCAAGTCACCAAAAAGTGAATCTTTTTCATAGTTAGAGGTCAAAAAGACTATCTTCAAAAGAAGAAGAATGACAAGTGCCATAACTGTGGAAAGTGGGATCACTGGGCAACAGAGTGTAAGCTACCAAATAAGTTAAAGAATAACACACCACAAAATGAGGCTAATATGTTAACTAATGAACTGAGCCTGAAGTTTTCATTGGAATGATGAAGAATGAAAAGGCCAGTGTCTCTTCTGAGTGGTGGTTGGAGAGTGGTGCTACCTGTCATACTACAAATGATAGGAATTTACTCACTAAGGTCATAGAAATGAAAGACACAGTGGAAAATTGCAGCGGTGATGAGACAGATGTGACTCGTGTTGGAACTGCAAATTTAGTGCTTTCTTCAAGTAAATTACTAACTCTAAAACAAGTTAAAGTAGTACTTTTACTTAAAAGAAAATTTATATCTTTGCTTGATAAAACTTGTATGCCTTTCTCAACTATGAATGGTAGAGTAACTTTATTCGTTAACTCTTGTTATTTTGGTTGTGCATTCATGATTATGGTATGTATAGATTGAGTTTAGATACTATGAGCATAAACCATGTGAGTTCAACTTTGAATGATCCAAAGTTGTTATATAATAGACTTGGACATGTGAACTACAAGAAAATACAACATCTAGCTAAAACTCTTGATACTCTATTAAATGCTTCTATTCGATTTGACAAATGTGAAGTATGTGCACAAACTAAGATCACTAGAAAACCTTTTAAGTCAGTTTCTAAAAGCACACAACTTCTTGATCTGATACATTTTGACCTTTGTGACTTTAGAAATTATATTACTAGAGGTGGTCAGAAGTGCTTAATAAAATTCATAGACGATTTTTCTAGATATTGTCATGTTTATTTGTTGAAATCGAAAGATGAAGTTTTTGAAAGGTTCTAGATTTTTAAGTCAATAGTAGAAAATCAACTCAACTTGAAAATTAAGAGGTTTAGGAGTGATAGAGGAGGAGAGTACACAATGACAGGGTTCAAGGAATTTTTACGCTTCAGAGGGCATAATACTTGAAACCACTGCTCCTTACTCACCCCAATCAAATGGTGTTGCTGAGCGCAAGAATA